CTTAATGATTCTATGATTCTATATGCAAAAACTTAATTCTTTGCCTCCCTTGTGTTTTTACTACTTGTTTTGGGGGGAAGGAACCATATTGAGAATTATTCATTCAAACTAGACCAATAGAACTATACCAGTAAGTATGCCTGGGTAAACGAGTCATACAAGAAGTTGCAAAACTAATAGGTCTTTCTGTAAGACATGAATGTCCGTGTAAAGTTATCGAGGCCTGGGGAAATACGTGTGTGTTAGCTAGTGAACTACAATAATGGTTGGATTTGCAATCTAGACCTTGACAAAGTAGGAAGACATGAGTACATAAAGGATACTCTATCCTCTCTATTGTCACAAGTACCCTATCGTGCTACTATGGGGACTTGGGTGTTGATTTTTTTCTTTTTATAAAGTGCTTCATGTTGAACTCTCTTAGAACTGCCACTCCAACTCTCAATTTTTTTGAAAGTTGGAGGTTTTTATTCTTGGTGATGATTGAGAACCTTTGTCTAAATTCCAGTGTAGGTTTACTCATTGCTAGGTCATAATACTTCTTGTCTCTTTTTTTTTAACCCTATAAAGAACTCTCCTTTTTGCAACTTACTTCTAATTCTTTTCAGAGCAAAAGTGGCCCACCTTATTTTGCATTGCTAAACCAGTTGGTTTCTGCTGCCAAAACAGATCAGTCATCCTCATAGCCCTTCTTGTCACCTGCTGTAGTTTGAGTTACTTGTCTTGATAGTTTCTGTTCATGATATTCCAAATGAAACCTTAGTGTATTGTGCAGTGATGCTAATCCTTTCTCGTCACCATTATAAAGCAGAAATGCCTTGACTGATGCATTCTTGAATTTCATTTCCCTTTTTTTCATTCCCCCCTCCCCCCCCCCGCCTCTTTTCTGTAAATTGGGTTAGGGTGTTATTATAAGAACTTCTTGATGAAGGTTCTTCAAAAATACAGTCCTTGATGAGATGTCCTCCCACAGTATCAAAAAACTTCAGACAAGAAGTCACACTTGGGGCTTTTGTGTTTGGAGTTCTGCAGGGTATCTTTTAATCTTCTTTTCCCTGGCTACCTGCTAAAGCAATCTTATGGATTTCCTCAAAGTGGAAAAAGAACTTAATGGAAATTAAAATATGCTGCAGCATAGAGGAGAGAGAAAAGGAGGATACTTTCACATTCTTAGTGTTTTATTTACTCATTCATTGTCTGAGTTTGTCATAAACTACTTGGAGAGGAATTTCCTCTCCCCAGCTATATAGCAGGACTCCATCTTCAAAGTCATTATTTTCAGCTTCTTCTCTGAGGCAGTATTTCATCCTTTTTCTTGCCAGGGTAATCACTTTTCAGTCCATTTAATGCTCTGATCTTTTATTCCTACAGAGTTTTCCTCTTCTCAAAGAGTCAAGGCATAGGATCTCCTACACATGGCCAAGTAGTCTGACTAGCTTTATGAACATTCTGGTTTTAGTCCTTAACTTGGTGCTAGATACCTGCAAACCTTAGGTGGTCAAACAGGTAAGAGAACTTTACACATCACACTTTCTTTTCCTTGTTATCAAAACTGAGGTTTCCTTTTCTTTTTGGATAGGCTCTCCATCCCATTTAGCCTTGAAAGGCAAGTGCACATTTTGTGTCTTTTCTTTGCTCATTACTGCTGCTTGGTTTATGTGCCAAGTCCCATTGCTTGATGCAGGCACTGAGGGCACTTCACATTGTTCAGTCAATGTGGGAAGGAAGTACTCTATTATTAGGTGAGAAGCATTGCCTTGCAAGTAATACCTTGAGGACATCAATAAGCATTTAATATATGTGCCATCCTAATTATGGAATATATTTGTTGCTGATGAAAAAGACAAGTAACACTTCCTTTTAACCACTCCTTGGGATGAATTTATTCCTAATCTGAGATCCAAAATATCTGTGACTTCTGGACTTTTTGGTACCATCCAAGTTATGAATGATGGATCTCTTCAAAGTTTCTCTTTTTTAAGTGTTACAGGCTTTCTTGTACCCCTCAATCCAGTGCATTTTGTTTCCTTTCACCAAGTCTGTTAACTGGACTGTGATGGAGGTGAGGTCTTGTCTCTAATTAGACAAGTTATTTGCCTTTTTTGCCTTCGTTCTTGAGAGGACCTTGAGGTATGTAGGACAGATTCGTTGCTGATGAGTGGTTTACTGGTCAGTAAGCTATGGGCTATGCTGTCCAAGAGAATAGAATCACAGGCGTAAATAAAACTGCTGCTTTTTATTTTGTTTTAGTGTTTATTTTTACTTTGCCAAATCAGAGGTGTTCTTCAATTCAATGTATTCTTTCTCTAGCAGTTTGCACGATCCCATGGGACTATGACCAAGCTAAAGCTGTCCACTGATAGCTTTAAATACTAAAGGTACCTTGGTTGCACCACTAATACTGACTATGCTGACAGCGTTGGTTTCTTGCTATTTTTTCCAAGGACTGCTTGCCAGAAGCTTCCTAATTAAAAATAAACAGATTTATCATTTTCCTTGGTTACCTAAGCTCTAAGGATGTAATTCTTATTTGAGTATGAAGAGTAACAGTCATCAAACAGTAATCAACTGCTTTTCCTCTTCGTTTCTTTCTTTTATGTGTGTATTATTGATGATGCAGATAGAGACTTTGCATGATTGAATTGGAACAACTGATTAAGCCTTTATCAGTACAGGGAGACAGTCAGGTATTGTATCTCATCAAGAAGAGAAGTTTGCCTTGAGCTGGTGGCTTAAATACATCTCTGAGGCAGGGGGTACCAAGATAGAGGAGCTAGGATTTCACTGCTGAGTGAAACAGATCACATGAGGATTCTGGCACTCTCTATATGGCATGCTGGAAGCAAGCATGCCAGCGGCCACTGAATTGTTAGTATCAGCTTCAGCTGTGCAAAGTGTCCAGATTGATACGTGAGTAGGGAGGTGTAGCAGCTCTGGCAGGCAGTGGTGATACTAAAGAGCCTGCTAAACTTCTGGAAACTGCTAATAGTGACTGTTTATCTTCAGTCTTGAGGAACCACGAACAGCAGAACTGAAAATGCCAAAGGATTATAATGTTTTTCAAATGCTGATTGCAGCACTTTGCTGCTTTTATCATCGTAAGTCTATTATCAGAGTCAAGGTAGGTGCCCTTTTTCAATAACCGTAAATACACAGTGTGCTAGTCAGTAATGCTTTTAGGTTTTGTTCAGAAGTGTTTGTTTTTATACGATGGTTGGGTACAGTGTGTTTCTGTTCTAAAGAACATCTTCAGAATTCACCATTGTCTCAGAGAGAAGCTTAAACAACTTTCAGTTTTATGAGCCTGAAGCTGACTGTCTTTATGTTTAGGCACTAAGTTAAAAATGCCCTGGTTTGGGACTTGCTGAAGAGAATTTTAGCCAAAGTTTCAAGCTTTCAGAATTTAACTGGCCAGACCACTTGGTTCCCTAACTTTTTCACCTCCTTACTGAAAACATAGGCAATTGTGCTCAGAAACTCAGTTTTTTTAAACGCTTCAGACAATTTTGAACTTTTCCTGATGTTTTAGAACTTTTAAAACTACAAAATACACAAAATCATATACTCATAGAATGGTTTGGGTTGGAAGGAACCTTTAAAGATCATCTAGTCCAACCCTCCTGCCAAGGGCAGGGGCATCTTTCACTTTATGCAAAAATGCACTATATGCAAAGAAAAAGCCTTTATAAACATTTCGAGCCACACTTATGGAAGTCTCTAAGTGACTTGGGAATTGAACTGTAATCAGGTGGGATATCAAACTACTTTTGAGGATCTGTGAGCTACACCTAAGCTTTTAAATCTTTTTATTTAAGATTTATTCTTTAATTGTTCTTTGAATAATGAAGTATCAGCTCTGTAAATCGCTGTGTAATGTGTATAGATTTTCTGGAGCACTTGCAATGAGGAAGGATGTGAAGGTTGCTATCTTCTGGCCTGTCGGCTTTCAAACTTTGATGGAGGCACTTAAAAGTTGGGAACAGCTGCCCCCTTCTCTCTCCTCCAGTGATTTAGCCTTTTAACTGTCCATTTCTGAAAGTGGGGTGTGGGGCTCAGTCTTTTGGGCACACTGAAAAAATGACTGCTCAGACTGTCTTCTCTTTCTCACTGGGACAAATGTCAGAAGTTATCATCAGAATAGAGAGCTAAAGATGCTCTCCTGTTACTCCTGTAATTAATTTTCATTTGCATTCCAATTTTAAGCATAAGGCTTAACTCTTCTGTTCTAAAACTTTAAAAATGACATTGGATTTTATTGTTGGCTGTCAGAACAGTTATAAAACCGTTGTTCTTGACCATGCATGCCCTTTGTTTAACTTGGCATGAATTTCTAATACCTAAAATAACGGTGGTGTTGTTATGGCAACTTTCCATTTAGTCTAATCCATATAGTCTCTAGAGAAACTGAAACATTAATAGTGTTTGCTGTATGGAGGGTAAAAAATAAACCTTTTATGTAGAAACACATTACAGCTGGGCTCTTTCAAAAATAAGGTTCTATTTAAAGAGATGTGCAGCATTTAAAATAGATTTGAATGCATGTGTTCCAGCATGCAGATTTAGCATTAGTTGAATCTGATGAACTGCTATTTTAAGAAGTTCTGATGGTAGGAAACTGGGGTGCGTTTGCTGAAGAGAAAGTGGCTGTAGGTATAGAAACAGCTGGTGGTCAAATCAAGTAAGGTCTGCACCTTGGGGCCAAATGATGTATGTTCCGTGAAATGCCAGAGTGCCTAGGATGGTGTATACACCTGAGCCTAAGTTGTCTTCTTTCTTAATGTGTGAAAACATACCACTTCAAGCAAAATCAGTTTGTGTAATTAGATGAGATTAATTCTTAGTTTTACTAGTCATTACAATTGTAATGAAATACCAAATTGATCCATAAATAAGCATGCTGAAGTCTGCAGCTACCTCTGAGAGGTTGAAATTTTTTGCTGCACCGAGATAAATTCATTGTAATTATGTTGTCCGATTTAATTGAAAACAGTATGTGGCCAAGCTCAGAGATGCCTCGTTGTGTCCCTTCAAAGCACAGGAAACAGTACAGCACTTGAGCACTCACATTTTGCTGTGCTTAGTTTTAGTGTGTGAAATTAGGATCTCAATAGCAGATGTTTGGTTTGTTTTCCCATACGTAATAGAAAATATAATAATCAGTGCAGAAGATCTGAACTTGGATCAACTCATTCTTCAGTCATGATGTGTCAGTACCTTTTACAATCCCATTTGGTTTAAATAGCTGTTTACAGTTAAGGTCAGCTTCTACATTTGAGGAAAGTAAAGGGAAACTTCAAGGCAAGGGGTTCCTGTTTGTGGTTAAAAAAAAAAAAGTGAAGAGAGAATTCTAAATTATGACTTACACCACTTCCAAGCCAAAATATTGTTCATTAATTTCTGCATTTTTTGGAAGTTAAGAATTAAGTTAAGACTAAATCAGTGATAAATGGTGACTTAAAAAACGAAGAGGTCTGAATTAATAAAGTTAACTTCGCCACAAGACAGTTTTTGTAGTTCTAGCTAGTATGGTTGCCATGATCGGAGTGAAAGTCCTTGAAGTTCAAGTATTTTCATTCTTAATTCTCTGCAATGATTCACCCTCAGCTGAAGCTGCGCAAAAGGGGAAACCCACTCAAATTATCAGGACTGCCAAGTTTTAAAACTTCCACCACGTTATCTAGCTCATTACTGGGTAATGTACTAATGCTATGAATGTGGTATGCGTAAGAAGCCTTTTATAAGCAGCTACTTATTGCAAGTGCCATCTCTTATCTTGGATGAATTGCAAACACTTTTTATAGATAGTAGATCTTAATTAATATTTCTTCAGTATGAGATGATCTAAATCTGTTTCACTGGCATCCTCAGGCTTCGTGTATCCAGTTTCAGCATGTATGTGGAGGCAGTTGGATTTGATAACATGAGTTTACAAGTCATCACCACCCAGTATTATGGGTCTGCCTTTTTGATGTTAGATTTGTTGTTGTTGGAGAGGGCCAGATGGGAAAAGACTGACTTATCAAAATGATGTGAAATTTTGTATAGCTCCCTGAACTTTGATTCCCCATTGTCTTGCCGCTGAGTTTGAGTTTTGATGAGTCTTACACTCTATAACTTTTTTCAATTTCCCATGGTAATTCTATACAGTTTATCGAATCTTCACTGCAGTATACCCTCTATCATGTAGATAGATAGATAGATAGCAGAGGGACCACTAGTGCTCTGTAAGCGATTCCTGTTTGATGAGAATGGGAACATTTTCCAGTAGATATTTATGCATTTAACTTCTTGGTAATACCTTTCCTTTAGATATTTCTCAGAACAAACCAAAAAAACCTACCCAACTTCTAAAATCCTTCTAAAGTCCTCGGGGTTCACTGAGTGAGGAGATTAGTGTTTGGCTAACTCTAAACTCAGGATTTCTCAGGATCCATGTTCTAGAAATGCAGCTGTCCTCCTAGCTCTGAATGTGGTCACCTAGAAAATTAAGGAATTCTTATCAGTGTAGTGTTGTAGTGGAAGGTGGATGCAGAGTCCACTAGAATTAAGTCTTTTCATTACCTTCCGTTAACATTAGACTGAACTTGGTACTAAAAGCCTTTTTTATTTTCCTCCTCTCAAACAAATATCTCACTTACTAGTTAATAAAAAATTAGTTAATAAAATATTTGTTTTCTGTGAGTGTTATGTTGTTCATAGTGGCAGACTGAGAACATGCACATGATGGGGTTTGTTTGATTTCAAAGAGCCGTCACAGTTGTGACGGAAGTTTTCATAGTGATTTTTTTATCTTTTCATCAGTAACCTCAAAAGTTGTCACCTGTTACCTAAACAAGCACACAGAAGTCTTGTGGCTTCAAAATTGCCATTCTCCTATATTAATTCATCTCTCTGACGAGTTCAAGATTTCTCTCCTGTATCTTGGGCGTGATGAAAGTTTATATATTATTTGTTCTATCTCTCAACCAACCAATTAAGCCACTAGAAAATAAAAATAAAATCCTGCAGAAGTTGGCAGTCATCTATGCAAAGAGACTTTTATCATCCATTTTGTACCTCCCATTACTTAACAGCACTTATTATAGTCCTGTGTGAACTTTGTGCACTCTGGAAGATAAGAGAAAACTGCCCCTGTGAAGAACATTGCCGCAGTTGTAGTTCAAAATGTCGAAGTTAATCAGAAAATGGTTTTGTGAATTTAGAAACTCCTTTTTTCCCATTAGTTCTTTCTCAAAATAACTATTTCAGAAATAACTGTCTATGTGTTCTTGTCACTTTGTAAGTTCTTGGCCAATTGTTGTGGTTTAACCCCAGCCAGCCACTGAGCACCATGCAGTGCTTTTTTGTGCAGGAGAAAATAAGGACTGACAAGAATGTTTTCAAACAAAAATGGAGAGTCTGGTTCCACATGGGTATTCTTTTAAATGCCTAGTGCAAGTCTGTTGGTTTTGGTGGCCGATTAGTAGAGTTATGAGTGAAATAAAATACATTGTACTCATTATAAATAAAATTAAAACATATTATAAATTGATGTAACTGTATATTTTTAAATGCTTGTGATCATAGTGCCAAACAGGCAGTCTAATCAGGATCACAGGAGCACAGGGTTAGAGACTTACAGGATCTCTGCAGCCAGTGAAGTATATCTTAATCCAGAATTGGAACTTTGACAATAAAATGTTCGTTTTCTGTATGAACAAATTGTTTGCTCTCTAGTGGGTTGGAAAAAGAAGAATTTCATTAATTTTTCACTTTTCCAGATATTTTTAGTGTCCTGTGTCTGTTTGTCCCCTCCCTTCTTTCTTGTTTCGCATCTTTGTGTTCCCTCTTGGTATTTCCTGTCCCTGTCCCAGCATCCCCTCCACATTTTCTGTTGATTGGTCTTTCTGTTAAATTATCCACTTGGCTAAAAGCTATGTAAATCTCACAAAATTTAAGTTTTTGCTGAATCACAAAGTATCTCCCATCTCTCCTCATTTATTTGGAGATTCTGTAGGACCTAGTAATTTTACAAGGTCAGAAAATTGTAGTTCAGAGTTCATGGTGCACTTAAGCAAACGTAGCAGGCCTCCAGCGTTGGAGAAAAGATGGATTTGGGAGAAAGCTATAATAGATTTGATT